ATCAAATGGGATGGAGGGAGTAATGTATATTTATAATGATTTTTATTAATTAATTTAATTATTTTTAAAAAAAAAATTATCTCTCTTTTATTTAGATGTTAATTTAAAGTTGTCAAAAAAAAAAGGTCGACCCAGCCCCACCCGATCCAAGCCTCGTGGGCCAAGGAATTTGAAGGGCTAGGACAGGCGACCCTTCATTTGGAAGGGCCTGAAAATGTTCAACCCAACCCAACCTTAGAAGGGTCGAGGGTTGGGGCGGGCTAGCCCTATTTTTTTTTTACTTTTTTTTTCTTTTCAAACTTATAGTTCTTTAACATCAAGAAAATAAGGAAATTTTCAAATCAAATATGACAAATAATGGTTTGTTTCAATACTAGCAAAAAATCTAGTGTAATTAGCATATATCTCGCATACTAGATACGCGAGCGAGATAAGAGAGTGAACATCAAGATGGGAGAGAGGCAAGGGCGCAAGATTTGTCTATGTATCTTAGATGCATGCGAATTTACTTGGATGGAGTGTATCTAGAACAAATTGATTTTGAGTCCATATATTCCGAGATATACATATCTGGACGTACCAAAATCTGGTAAGATTCTTTATATTACAACATAGTGTGTATTTAAGTAATTAGATTATATACTAGTGAGATTATCGGTAGTTACCCTTAAATAAAAAGTTTTGGCCCATGAACCGACCCTGGCCCGGCCCCGATCAAGCCCTAGTTTCAAATGGGTTTGAAAAATCTTTTTCCAACCCTACCCCAATAACGGGTTGGGTTGGATCAGCCCCATGGACTAAGCCCGTTTTAACGGCTCTAGATGTTATATTAACCTATTTTATGACTGAGCAAAGGAAGGAAAAATTACTTAAACATATAATTTATTTATCATATTCTTTAAAAAAATTCTATCATTTGTAAAATTATAAAAATCTCTGCTCTCTTCTATTCTTGGATACATCACTTTACACGATGTATCGGGACGTACGTGTATCAAGATAATGAGTGATATATTCGAAATCGAGACGTGATGTATCGAAAAGTTAAGAGATGTATTTGAAATCAAAACTCGATGTACACAGACGTTTTAGGATGTATCCAAATTCCATCAAATTTAAGAGATTTTTACAATTTTTTTAAAAAAAGTAGAAATAAAATGTAATTAGCTATTACCATTGGGATAGGATTCGATATTTTACATTGGGTATGAACTCTGATATGTAAAAGAATATATGAGTTTATTTTTTAAGTTACATGGTATTTTTGAAATTAAGAATTGATTTTTTGATTTAGTAAATATATATTTGTTAATGAAAAGGATAAATATCCCTTATTTGTTAGATTATGGGTATATATATATATATATATATACCATTATTATATTAAATTATACAATTATTTAAACTTATAAATATTGAATTTTGTCTCACATGGACTTCAAACCACTAAACTCCATCCTAATTGGGACACATCACCAAATAGCTTATATTTCCATTAAATATCCTCAAATTTTAACGGAGGAAATGCATTTCAACAATGTAGCATACCAATAAATATCGTAAATATATCCATCAATCATCATCAAGCAATGACAAGGAGCACATGTTACTATCGTAATAGTTGACAATGGACACTAACGGTGCATAACAAGTAAACTTGGTACTATAATTGAGATATATTTCTATTACTTTTAATAAACTAAACTATGCAATTTTAATTCTTTTCTGTTCCAACAAACTCTGTCGGTTAGATTTGAGAGGCATTATGAAAAAAAAATTAATAAGAAACGCTAAAGGTCTAATCAAATTCCAGAAATCACAATACATTAAGCTACACTAAATTTCTATTATATAGAAGAGTGAAGTGGTAGGACGACCAAGGATAAAAATATAATTTTATTTTAACAAAAATCTATTAAGAAAGATAGTAAATAATTCTAGAAACATCTTTCTATATATGAAGTGAATAATGATCAAGGGTAAAAGTGTAATTTCACGCTAACAAAAATCTACCAAAAATGATAACAAGAAAATTAAATAGTTCTAGAAACAATTTTAGTTATTGTTATTACCATTAATTTATTTTGTTATTACTTCACTTTCTTTTCTTTTGTGAGTTATTATGATATCTATTCATTACTCTATTTTACTATTACTTTAATTTAATTTTTAATATTTTTTTTCTATTCATTATGCTTATAAAAAATGCCTACTTTTAATATAAAATGTATTATGAATTAATTATTTTCACCTTTATTTTGGCTCTAATTAATATATTTGAAAATAAATAAGTGTGATAAAATTAATAATATATATTAAATTGAATTTAAAGAAAAAGATGTTAAAAAGTAACTTCACAAATAAAGACGATCAAGAATAAAAATGTAATTTCATTCTAACAAAAATCTATTAAGAGATAGCAAGAAAAATAAATAATTCTAAAAACATCTTTATATATATGAAGTGAATGATGATCAAAGGTAAAAATGTAACTTCATGCAAACAAATATCTACCAAGAATGATAACAAGAAACTAAATAGTTCTAGAAACATCTTTAGCTATTGTTATACTATTAACTCATTTTGTTATTATTTCACTTTTTTATGAGTTATTGTGATATCTATTCATTACTCTATTTTACTATTACTTTAATTTAATTCTTAATATTTTTCTATTCATTATACTTACTAAAAATGCCTACTTTAATATAAAAATTCATTATTTAAAAATATAATTAATTATTTTCACTTTTATTTTAGCTCTAATAAATATACATGAAAAGAAACAAGTGTGATAAATTAATAATATATATTAGATTGATATTAAAGAATAAATAAAATTAGTTTCAATATTTAAAAAAAAATATTTTAAAAGATGTTAAAATGTAACTTCACAAATAAAATGAATAGGATGATATATTTGCATTTAAAGTAAACTAAAAATGTTTACTAGATTATAAAAGAGTAGTTCTTCATTAAATTATATAATTAAATTTTTGCTTTTATTTGATTTCAAACATATTAATCTAAATAGTGAACTAATGTAAATTTGATTTAAATTTAAAGTTGTCCGGACAAAATTTTGTATTATTCTATTATAGAAATATAGAAATATGAAGTTGAGGACGATGAAGGATAATATGGTCATTTCATATATATTTCATTTTAAAATTTCATAAATTCTATTTTAAAATTTGTAAAAATATTTTTTCAAGTGGCTAAATTTCCTCCATAAGTTACATGATTATTCTAGAAACTATAGATTATAAGATTTTTCTAGAACTAACTATGACACAAATAATTAGACACTAACTCATTTCACTCCTCAAGTTTCTCCCCTCTCATGTCTTATACCAATAAATTTCTCGCCCTTTATTTCTAATTTGCATCCTAAATATTAGACACTTTGGTATAGATCTCTTATTAGGAAGACCAATAATGCATTTTTTTCAACATTAAGAACTTTATTTTTGATCAATTCCCTACCTAATGACCCTACTTTTGTAAAACAATTATAAGACAAAAGTAAAATTCGTTTTTTCTTGGTGAACACATCACTTTTGGGACTTGTCCATATAACAAATTTTCAGCAAAATTCAACTAATCCATATTTTTCAAACACTCTAATGAACATGATAATGGACCAGTTAACATGTTAAATCCAATATCAATCACAATTGCAATTCTCAAAAGGCCTAATTCATAAGGAATGCAACCAATGAGCAAGCTCTTCAAGAACAAAATTTCCAATAATTTTGAAGCATGTTATGTCCTTTCCTTTGGTTCTCTTTAGACTTTTCAATTTCATGGTGTTGCTTTTCTTTTTGGATTGTAAAGATAATTTTTGAAGTATCTAATTTACTTGATTTCTCTTTCTATGTATAATCCCAAAACTTCACGTAACATATATGTCATTATATAATTTATTGAGAAACATATATTTATTTATTACTATTATTTTATCATCAGTTAAAATCATTTTAAACAAGTTATATAAATTATTATTTTAACCACCTCATGTTGAATTATTGCAATATATATTCTATTAACTTTTGTTAATATTTTTAAATACTCATTATTTGAGGTAAAACATTCATTCATCAGGTATATAAATTAATTTTAAAAAAATTCCTTACTATACAAATTGTTATAAAATCATAACTTTTTTTCATCCTTTTATCACTTTGTAAAGAATGAGATGATTCATTCTAATTTTCATTAAGTCATTATTTTTGTTTTTTAAACACTTATAAAACAAATTTTAAGTGTATTCAAAATTAATCTATAGATGGATCAATATGTTTTATTGCTTCATATAGTTTATGAAAATTGTTAATATATTGAGACTCATAATTTTAATATATTCTCTTGAATAATTTCAACTAAAATAGAAAAAGAAAATCATTAAATTAATAATTTAATTCGAATATATATGTTTGACATGATGTTAAAATAATCATTGGAGCATGTGATATTTTATTATTATTTCTTATCATGTTTATTTGAAAATGTCATACTAATTTTTATTTTTTAAAACTAATTAAATTTCTATTATAAATATATATAATATTGTAATATCGAGCCCGTAAATGAGCCTTTCATTATATTGAGCCCGTATCACGGGCCTTAAATTATCTAGTACCAAACATAAATAATGAATAGCAAGAAGTAACACATCAAAACAAGACTAATAAACAGACCAAAATATAAAAAATACATCACTTACACATCTGAGTACCTACTAAAAATCTTCTTCTTTTTCCACAAATCCCGTGAAATATTCCATTATCCGTATGTCAAAATTGAATCACAAAAATAAAATATAAATCGAATAGAATCTGATCTTTAGACCAAGAAGGTACAAAATTGGGAAACCCAGTCAAAATTTGATATATTCTGTATTATGGTAGCAACTAGCAAGTTGCTAAAACAAAAACCAGATGCAACTCTAATTGTAGACTGCAAAACCTTGATCGCGGTAGCACATGAATAAGATCCTCCCGAGTCAGTGTTATTATGATACAAAAAGAACAAACTAAATCCGCAGTAATTTTACCTCATGTTGAAGCTTTCTGTAATTTGTTGAATGTCGAAAATGGAAGTAGAAATGAAGAGAGAAACAAAAACCTTGAAAAAGTTGATGTCGAACAAAATTGTGTTTTTTCCAATGCAAGATCATGGAGTCACTGGGGAAGAATGACTCGATTCGATCTTTAGCCCCTGCCTCTTTCTACAGTTCTTAAGTACCAAGAATCCTTTAGCTTTGATTTCAGATCCAATACAGGATTTTATCCTCCACAACAGCTCAGTACAATGCCGATGAGAGGAATTAGAGGAGCTGACGCTACTCTGAACCTGAACATTGGCTACTCTGTGACTGGACTCCCACTTGGCTTCTAGATAGGCAAGGGATCGCCATGGAGGAAGAGGCATTGAATTCTGTTTGAGTGAACATTTAGCTGCTTCTACCATAGCCTGAAGATACAGCTTAAGTTTTGTTACTGTGCCAACATAAACTGGTGGAAGACAACTCAAGACCACATTGTAGGATTTGACAGCTCTTGCAATTTCAAAGTGGCTCCGAAAGTCAAGATCAATGATATACCTTTCGGAGCATCCATCATTTCCATGGGAGATCACCTCAATGTACTCGTGTTCACCTACATAACAGAGGAAATGTAGCACAATGTCAACCAGAATTCTAGCTCACAAGGATGCTTGACAGTGCAAATTTAAATATTTTAATCACAAGATACAGCGACATGAACACGTTATCTAGTTGAAACTACTAGTAATACATATGGCGCACAATGCCACCACACCATTCAGAGGCTACGGATACATTCTCAGTGGTTCAGACTGTAACATTTGTACGGTCAAAGGCTTTCATACTTGAGCTAAATAATGTTCATAGTTAGACCTCTTAATATAGTACACAGGCAAGAATTGAATTTAGAAAAAAACATACCTCCAGGAATTTTTCCACAACCCTGCCACTTGGTTGCACACATATCTGCATTAAAACCACAAGACTGGAGGAGCTTCACTAGATAAGATCTGATGCAGCTTGCATTGCATGTTTCGGGCTTGCCAATATGAAAAGATTCGGTCATTGAAAGAATAAGGGAATGAACCACCATTGTTAGATCACTTTCATACCGATCCACTGAGTTCTTGTACAGCTGCAAAATGATACAATTTACCATGAAGTTCCATTATTAAGATTTTTTCCCCTTGTTGACAAATGAAGATACACTATTTAAAATTTAGCCAGGAGAAACAGACCACCATGTGAAAGCTAGAATTTCAGTTGTCTTATGCTCAGAACTCTCAGTCATTTAGAAATTCGTTTCATTGACTAATATCTATTTCACGAGGAGGAACAGTCATTCAAAGATGATAATACAAATCATTTTTTCCAAGCCTGTAAAGGCTCAAAGCACTTCTGACTCCTGTTCTCTATTTATCAAAGACATTGTTCTCATCTTCAGACAAGTTTCATTGATACATCAGACTGACATGAATTATGCACAGGTAATTGAAAATACTCTAGTTATTCCACATTTCAAATTTTAATCCTCAAAGAAACATATACTATCGTTTTTTCAATTTGTTGATATGAGTATTGTCCAGGCTAGTCTATATACGCCTTCACTATTACATGAGCTCACTTTGTTCACTTAAACAGAAATACTTGAACAACTTCATTGCTAACCTCATGCAAAACTAAAATTCAATGACCATAAACATGCATATGTAAAAACAAGGATTACTCCAGTTCAAACTTATATTGTGCCTGGATGAAATCCTTATCTGTGCTATTCAAGCTTGCTACATATACACCTACACTGAAACACTAGAATATGTTTCACACCTAACACATCTATACCACATGCGAAACTAAAATCTGATGAGGATATACATGTGTATACATAGAGACAAGGATAACTCCTTTTCAAACGTTAATCACTCTGCAGAAAATTACTCTGTTCTATTCAAACTTGTTCAGATGCACCTAGACCTACGAGCATAAATATGTCCATTCACTGAAATGAGGATTGCTCCAGATTAAATCTCTATCTGTGCTGCTCAAGCTTAGTGTGTATCTAGACAGGTTAGATCATTGAGGAAGTTATTTAAAACACATCACATGGTAATAAAAGGAATAAGTCTGTTTCACTGGTAAGCAGAGAGGAGGGAAAAGATAGCTCCAGCCTCCAGGTCCTAATGCATCAATCAGTTACTTTAGATATCTATACCAACAGTTAAAATTGCTCATTCCAAGTCATTGTGATCCCCCAGTTACTGGAAAAGGAAAACAATCTCCCTGGAACCTGCTACTGACAGTCATGCCTTGTATACCCAGAAAGGTGTCAGCAGGGTCAGTTCAAGTGTCCAAAAGAAAGGGGAGTATTATTGCTCACCCCTGCATTTGGTGCAGGATAGTAAGTTTGCTTATGGTAGTGGGTTACCCATTTTTGCATTTCCAGAAGCTTGTACTAACATAGAATAAATTAAATTGTGTATCTACCTACAGAGTGCAATTTCAAACGAAAAACATTGTCTAATTAGAACAATCACCAAAACTGAGTTGAAGTTAATGCAGGTAAATTGAGCAAGAACATTGCGATCATGCTTCTACATTGACTGCCCTTTTGTAACACGCTATTATCAAAATTAACCTCTGCCATGAAGCAGAATTGCAATATTTTTCTTTCACATCTCGTGTAACTGCATTATTACCCCGTCTGTTTACATACTTATAGTTAGTACGAATTTTTTAACCTACTAAGCTCCTGAGCTTGTTTGGCTTTTCTCTACTCTACGGAAACTTATTCTCAATCCATTAAATTTCTCCTCATTATCTCCTATTTCTACTCCAACAAACTCATCACAAGCTCTGAAAAGCTGTTACTTTCAAAATTTATATTATGCATCGATTGAGAATTCCGATCACAGCACCTACCTCCTATTTCCTATCTTTCAAAGGCATCAATATCAATTTCAAAATGTTTCACAGATTCAACAATGACCCGTGTAACGCACAGATGATGAAGAAACTCTAATTATTCCATCTCAAATTTTAATCCTCTGGAGAAACCATCATTTGTGCTGTACTATTATTTCTTTATTTGTTGATATCGAAAGTGTCTAAGCCAACTTATGTACACCTCCACTATTATACATTTTAGCTTTGCATATACCTACACAAAATACCTGAACAATTCCATGGCATACAAAACTAAAATCCAATGAGCACAAACATGAACAAAAATAAACAAGGATTACTCCATTTCATGCTTTAATTGTTCCTGGATAGAACCGGTATCTACTCTACTCAAGCTCGCTACATATACACCAAGAGTACCAAAAGACTAGAACAAATTTCACCCCTAACACCTCTGTACAAGCTGCAAAACTAAAATCCGATGAGGATAAACATTTATGTACACGGAGACAAGGATAATTCCATTTCCAACCTTAATCACTCTGCAGAAAACTGTTGCCTGTTCTATTCAAGCTTCCTTTATGCACCTAGACTAACGAACATAAGCATATCTATTCATTTCACAGAAATGAGAATTACTCCAATTAGAACATTAATTGCTCCAGATTAAACATTCATATGTGCTGTTCAAACTCAACAATTTCACCAAAAATAAATAAATCAAAAGGCAATAAGCACAACGTGTACAGAATACTCACCGAAATCGTATCAGCAAGACGAGCGAGATCGGAGTAACCAGAATCATTATCACTGCTATACCTAGACTCCGCACCGGCGCTACTACTTTCCAGAAAGTCACTCACCATAGCAGCCAAGTCAGGTTCGCTCTCATGACTATAACAGCCGCCGCTTCCGACACCGTCGCCTCTATTCAGCCAATTTCCTCCTCCGCCGCCATCATCAACGACCACCAGAGAACGACGTTCGTTATTTCTCATCTCCGGCGAATTAGATTTTTTTTCGAAAAAAAGAGGGAAGGCGTCAATAAAGGTGAGCGAGAATATAGAAGACTCTTTTTTTTTTTTTTTCTCTCTTTTGTCCGTTCAGCACTTTTATTATGATCTCGATTCTTCTTAAAGAGAAGAAACAAAAAATAATACTCGTAGTATTAAAATAAGTACAGCGAATATTAATAGTAAATCGTTGAACATACAACTAATTCTATATCAATTTTTGTTGTGTTTTCATTCGGAGTTCGAAACACACATTAGAGTTTCGAATAAATTTAGATCTACTTTGCAGAGCTTATTTGAAAGTGAGGTTCCTAATAGAATTTTTAAACATCAGAATTCAAATCCGACACCAACCAATTTTTCTTATACTTCAAAATTTGAACCCAAAATCTCAAATTAAAGGTGATGCAGTCCCATATTGGTAATCCTATATCAATTGAGTAACCAACAAGTTTCAAATATTCTACCCCTTCCGAAAAGATCGTTACTATTATTATTATTATTATTTGAAAATGGAAATAGTTTTTTTTTTCTCATGTTGAATAGTCAAATAATATTATTTTAGTAAGTCTTTAGATATACTTTATTGTTTGGTAAGATGGATAATGATAGAAAAATTTGCTGTAAAAACTTATTATTTGTTTGATTATCAATTTTGAGATAATTATATTAAAATTATTAATTATTAGTATTGAAAAAATTATTATTCTTATTTGAAACTGAAATTGTTCTCTTTTTTTTTTCTTTTCTCAAGTTGAATAGTTAAAATAATATTATTTTAACAAGTTTTTAGATATACCTTTGGGGGTTGTTTGATATGATGGACAATGATAGATAATTTTGAGATAAATATTTATATATTATTTTATTATTTATTTGATCATTAAATTTGATATAAAATGATTAGAAAATTATTTCGGGATAGAATATGGCCCGTGTGAGTCTCCGAGAATGAAATAATAATACTGAAATAAGATATTTCTATTTGAAAGTCTCATAATAAAATAATGAAAATAACAAAATACTTTCCGCAAGTCATTTTTATATTAAATATATAAGGTTGAGAATATTTTATAAGCAACTACTTCTTCATAGAAATTATCTTTTTTTTTTCTTAATATAACTAATCAAACTGTCATAAGAAATAATTCAATATAATTTACATTTATATAATTAATTCCTAACACAATTTATATTCAAACCAAATGATATCGCCTTCGAGATTTTTTACTATAAAATGATAATTTATATAGTTTTTGAATTAACATATGCATTTAACCGAAAATTAGATGCATTCATTCTCCTAAACCTTCTCAATCATTCATTTTGAACGATATAGAAATATTTTAATAGTAATTGCATTATTCTTTAAAATCATTCATAAATTTTTAAAAATACTTAATAATAACACATCACTAATTGGGATAGACTAGTAGCCCACCAATAATCATTTGTCATAATAATCATCCACATTAAGTTGATTATTTGTTAGAATTATTACCTTTTCCCCGATTTTTCTCTTTAAAAGTTGTTTGTTTTTAAAGTAAATAATATTTATATTAAAAAAGAATTAAAAAAACTAGTACTTAAAAGTATAGTATTTTTATATAATTTTTTTAAGTAAAAGATAAAATGTAATAATTAATATAGACGAAATAATTAGACAATCAATATGTGACTATGGGAGTAGTATTTTATAGGGAAAAGGGTCTGAAAAATACTTCAATTTTGGTCGAAATTGTTGTTATAATACCAAACTTTGGAAATGAACTTTTACCCCCTTACTATTTAATAGTGTATTTTAAAGATATATATGTACCTACATGGACATTATAAATATTTCATCATTTTAAATAGTAATGTGTCCACGTGGGCACATAAATACCTTTAAAATACACTATTAAATAGTGCATGGGTAAAAGGTCCTCCATAAAGTTTGGTATCGTAACAACAGTTTCGGCCAAAGTTGAAATATTTTTCAGACCATTTTTCTTATTTTATACTTTGTCGTTTCATATTATGTATTTCTTATATCAAAATAATATTTTAAAAATCAAGAGAGTTATATATATATACACTAGGTAATGTTGCCCGAGCTATGCATGGGCACGGGCCCAATAATATAAATGGTATGTTTTGGGGCTAGTAACGGAGATTTTGAAGCGATTGTTTGCGTGGATAAAGGAATAAGTTTTTTTATCACAAACTTGTACTTTATTTGACGCTATTCAAGGCACAATAAGACTATCCACATACAACATTTTTGAAATATTTTATATTGTCAATTATCATGATTTATAGTATTTTTACGATAGATTCACTTAAAGAATGAGTGGAATTTTTTCTATTTTTTTTTCAAAACATATTTTATGTTGTCAATTATCATTATTTATAATATTTTTACGCATTTTTTAAATATAAAAAACCCAAAAAAAAATAAGACAAATAAATAAAAATGGACCCAATATATGTTATTTTTGTTGTCTCAATTTATGTCACACAAATAAAATTTGGAGAGTCATCCAAATTTTATTTTTTTTTAAAAAAATGTTTTAAGTTATTAATTATTGTGATTTATAATATTTTGATGTAACTTTCAAATAACCAACATTACTGGTCACTTTGTCCTAATTTATGTGATATGGATAAAAATACAAAATTAACCCTTTTAAAATGTCTTTCAGATATTTTAAGTTGTTAATTGTTATTATTTATAATACATTTTTGGTAATTTTAAAATGATATGTGTTATTTTTTCTGTCCTAATATATGTGAGCATGAAAGAATTCTGAGAGTGAACCTATTTTATTAAATAGCTTTTAAATATTTTAAATTGGTAATTATTCTAATTTTTAATGCTTTTTAAGTCATTTGTAAATGATATATGTTGCTTCCTTTGTCCCATTTTATACAGTATAAATAAAATTCCCGAAACCAACTAAATTTTTAATATATTTTTAAAAATATTTTAAATTATTAATTATTGCGATTTATAATATTAAAAAAAAGTACAAAACTTGTATCAGCCTAAAAAATGACCACGATAATTCGAAGCCTACAGAAAGCAATATGGTTGTACGCAATTTTTAAATACTTAATATATATTACTCCACTTGTCTCAATGTATGTAGCATTGATAAAATTTCAAGATTCAATCAAATGTTGTTAATTGTTAACATTTATAATACATTTTACGTAGTTTTTCAATAATTTCACATTAAACAATACATATTACTACTTTTGTCTCATTTTATGTGACATTGATAGATTAATTTTAAGAATCAGTCAATTTATTTTTTCTGTTTTTTTAATAAATATTTTAAGTGGTCAAAATCACGATTTATTGTATTTTATACATAATTTTTAACGATAGATTAATTTCAAGAATTAATCGAATTTTTTTATATGTATTTATTTTTGAAATATTTTATGTTGTCAATTATCATGATTTATAGTATTTTTACGCAATTTTTAAATATAAAAAAAAATTAAGACAAATAAATTAAAATGGGCGCAATATATGTTATTTTTGTTGTCTCAATTTATGTGACATAAATGAAATTTGAAGAGTCATCCAAATTTGCATTTTTAAAAAAAATGTTCTAAGTTATTAATTATTGTGATTTATAATATTTTTATGTAACTTTCAAATAACTTACATTGCTGGTCACTTTGTCCTAATTTATGTGATATGGATAAACTTACAAAATTAACCCTTTTAAATATGAAATATTTTAAGTCATTTGTAAATGATTTATTATATTATATTATTATATATTATATAAACTCCCTTATAGTAGAAAAATAAATATATATTATATAGTAGAAAAAATAATTTATTATATTATATATTATATATTATATAGGGAGTTTATAATTGGACAACACAATGTCCCATCATAAACCCCCTCTTATATAATAAGAGAATATATATATCAAATGAAATTTAAGGCTTTCTTCCTGGAGCCGCCTGAAGAAATATTTATAATACTTTTTTAATAATTATAGACACGAGTTCAAATAACTTGTTGAATTCATTATATTAAACAACTTGATATATTATAAAGTTATGTTAATGAAGTTTGGTTCAATTTGCAACATATTTGAACTTTGAAGACTTCTTTTTAAAAAAAAAGAAAAAAAAATCTTTGTAAAGAATGAAACACAGAAAGAGAAAATTAAAATATTTTTTTTTAAAAGAATAAACAAACAACAATACGCGTAATGCTTTATTAAACGTTATTATATCCTAAACCTAACTCCAGCTCCCCAAACCGGTGGCTGTCACTTCCATAACTTTTTTTCCCGTGCCGTTCAATATTCGTATTGGAGTCTGACTAACTTATATTCGTATTGAAATTTAATTAATTTAATGTACCGTATAGGATCCATTTGAAAGTAATGCTTCTTATTAAAGATTTTTCATACTCAATACTCAAAACTAAACATTTAATTAAGAAATGAACAACTTCATCCACAATATCATATCCGATGATAGCCACTTTCATACGTTATGATGGACATGCAACTCCCTTTATTAATTATAAATAATATTTAAAATAGTAATATTATTATTATTATTATTATATAATAATAATAATAATATTCTTAAATCTTATATATGTTACAAAGGATGTTAATTAAAAAAATTATTTAATATAGTAACATTATTTTTATGTGTAATAAAGAAGAAAAAGTATAAATTGAAAGTTGAAACAAGGGAATAAATATGTTAAGTTAATTAGTGTAAAATCTCATGACGGTTTATATTATTCCTTGATGATAGTAAAAAGTACGTTACTTTTTGGATTTGCTTTAAATATTAGTAGTAATTAATATCAGAAAACATTAATCTAAATTCCAAAATAGATTACTTCAGGTTAAGAGAACTTTATTCTCAATAGTTAAATTCAAAAACTATAATTATAGGAATAGATTGTTACAATCCAACCTATCATACTTTTTCACTACAAAAAAAGTGTGAATTATATGGGATTTTCCTGGAATTAGTATGAAAATTCGCAGGAAACTTATTTTCCTACAAATTTTTATTCTAATTCCCAGGAAAATCCTCATGTAATTCACAGTTTTCTTGTAGTGTTTGATATTATCAACACTTA